GATTTGAGAGAATAAATTACACATTACACAGAGCCATAAAATTTATTCCACTGTGGATATTGTGTACATTTCACTTTATGGAGTTATTTATTCTGCCATATATTTCCGGAAGCACTAATTCATAAAGATTATGTTCAATGGGGTCAACCTATTTGCTGAACGTAAAACAATTCAAAAGAATGGTGAGGCACATTATAATGTGCAGCTGACGAAAAAACGCTTTCACGGAATTTCGTTGTTTTTCATTTTCTGTGTAAACTTTTGGTCTGAAAGAGAATTCTTCATTTCCTGTGGAAAATTTTCCAAAATGTCTTTCTTGTGATATATATAGGTATCTTCATAACAGTGCACTCAACAGCGCATTGTATATATTTTGATACAATAGGTATAGAATGTATTCACGAGCCATTAGTATCGACTAAACGTTTTGTGTTATCTATCAGACCGAAACAATTCAGAAAATAGTCAGTTGAATGACACATCGATGAAGCAGACAAATCTCTATTGTACGCTTTGATTTGTACAAATCGATTCGAAAGGTATGACTACACAGAAACCGATGGTAATTTCGATAGACTGAACGCAACTCATATATTTCTTATAATTCTTAAAATTAAGCTTTATTTTGTTGAACTAATTTTTGTATGCCCGCAGCAAAGTTCAATGTCCCCTGCATTTCGAATACGCAAATTCGTACTACTTGCCTGGGTTTGATATTCCTGTCAAGCATGGAAATTCCAGTTAGGCACATTTGAAAACTCTACCGCTTTACTTACCAACCCAGTCACGAAATTTGTTAATTTGCATTGCGAATTTGTGAATGACATGCTTAACGGATTGTGGGAAATGCCATTATTATACTCACAACTCGCAAATCATTTGTTGATCATGTATGTTTTTCCAAAATCTTGAGGTAGCTCGAATAAAAACTTTGTTTTTATACATTACCATTGAATTTGACGAACTGGATGACGTTAGTGATAACAGTTTGACCTTTCGGAATGTATTTTTAACGTTTCCATCGTTCCATTTTGATTGCAATTGGATCCGATGAAGCTATTTTCGCCTGACCGTTTCTATTTCAATAAAAGCATACTTTCCCTTGGTTGTTCAAGCTTATTTTGAACTACACTAAAGGAAGATTGGTTTAGCTGAAATTGAAAGGATTTCTCTTTGTTCCCATACTTTTCCTCACATAAATAATAATCATTCCGAATAAATACAACTCGATCTTCAAATTATTTCAGATTTGGTACAATTTTCATCACTCAAATCATTTTATTCGAGACTTTATCATTCAAATAATCCGAAGTAGACGAAATCACTATAGGTAGTCTTACAGAATCGTGATTTAAAAAACAGAACAACTTCATTTTGAATTTTATTAAAACTACTAGCTAAACTACTAGCTGTCCGATCCGGCTTCGCCTGGTTGGTTTACCCATTAAAAAAAATTCAAGTCATTTGTTTCAGTCGTTATTCTGAGCTATGCGCGTATTCACAGTACATATTTTTTTGTTATTTTATTTTTATTTTTGTGCTCACCTATGCTCACACCTATTTTCAGTCTCTCAGTATATTTCGTATTGTTTTTTTGATTTACCTATTAAAAATGTCAACTCAATCGGTTGAGCCGTTTAGTAGGTGACGTAATGACAGCAGCGCCACCTACCACGTTCAATTATATTTCTAAATCATCCAGAAAACCATCGAAATACTCATAGCAAATTTCAACCCAATCAGCTCAACCGTTTAGAAGTTTTCCTATTACCCGTTTTCCCGTAGAAAAGAAGCATTTTTTTTGCGGTAAAAAGTAGGCTATGTTTATCAGGAAAAATGTCGGCTTCTGATAGAAAAAAGGTTTTTTAAAATCGATCCAGTAGTTTCGGAACATATTCACTACAAACAAACAAGTCTTTCCTCTTTATATCTTCATAATAATATCTATTTATTTATTTATTTATTTATTTATTTATTAACGGGTGAACCCAGTGTAAAAAAAAAACATGAATATATATAGCCTATACAACATATCACAGACCATTGATTGATTTATACATATCTACACTTTAAATACAATGAACATTAAAAATAAAAACATTACATTATTGCAAGAATGCGTTTGGCTCTTTCAGTGCCAGTGTTAAAAATGTCCCAGTTCACTCTGTTACTCAGCGTCATCATCCTGTTTATCGGGCTATTGTTTGCATATATAGTTCTATGAGTTTCTAAATTGAAGGTGCTGCTATAACGTAATCGTTTTTGAGGAACATGAAATTTTAGGGAGGCCAATAATTCAGGACAATCAATCTGATTATTACATAATTTTTGATTTTTATGTTTAGGCGATTTAAAATATTGTCATAATCAAATTCCTCCATAGGAATACCGAGCTTGAAACCAATATAACGCAAAAAACGTTTCTGAACTCTTTCTATTTTCATGATATGAGCTTGGAAGGCAGGACACCACACAGAGCTGCTATTTTCAAGTTGAGAGCGTACCAATGAAAAGTAAAGGGATTTCAATGCCACGATATTATGAAAGTCCTTTGTTGATCGTTTGATGAACCCTAGCATCTTCAAAGCTTTGTTACAGATAAATTCAATATGAGGAATAAAGCTAAGTTTAGAGTCAAAAAGTATACCAAGATCTTTCATAATGTCTACCTTTTCAATGACTACATCATTTAAGGAGTACTCATCATTGTTAATTATGCTGTGATTTTTGCTGAAACGAATATATTTACATTTTGGAATATTAAGAACTAGTTTTTTCTTGTGGCACCACACAGAGAACCTGTCCAAGTCCTCTTGAAGATGAGTTGAGGAGGAGGGTCTCTCCAATTTGAGATATATTTTCATATCGTCAGCATATAATAATATTGAACTGAATTTAAAGCAAGAAGATACATCATTAACAAATAAATTGAACAGTAAGGGTGCTAAATGAGCACCTTGAGGAACTCCAGAAGTGATTACAATTTCATCTGACAAGGAGGAATTAATCTTAACTCTTTGCCTGCGATTATCTAGATAGGATTTTAGCCATGCCAACAAACTGCCTCCAAGGTATTTGGACAACTCAAAAAAAAGCAAATTATGATCTACCTTGTCAAATGCCTTGGAGAAATCTGTGTAAACTGCATCAACACTTAGTCCCTTCTCCAAGGCATCGACAATGTAGGTCTCATAGAGTAAAAGATTTGTAGTGATAGATCTTTCTTGGCAGAAACCATGTTGTGTTGAGCTGATGATATTTTTGAATTTAAACTTCAGAAAATCATTTACAATAGATTCAAATGCTTTGGGTATGAGCGATATCTTTGTGATTGGGCGATAATTTAATACAGAGTCTTTTCTTCCTGACTTCTTGTAAATTGGCACAACATAAGAGTTTTTCCAAAAATCTGGGAAAGTACCGGATTGAAGAGAATTATTGAAAATAATCCAGAGTGGACGGGACAATGAAAATGCACAAGATTTCATGAAGATTGCTTGTATAGTATCAGGGCCAGCCCCTTTAGAGCAATCAATGCTCTGAAGTTTTTCTAGAATGTCAGAAATATTTATAAATATTTTATTGATGCTGATGGAATCAAATTCACTGTCTGATCTAGGATCAATAGAGGTATTGTCACTGGAATATACTGAAGAGAAATGTTTAGCAAAAAGATTTGCAATTGAATTGCCATCAGTTGCAACCTCATCATTAAAGATTTCATATCATTAAAGATTTCAAAACATAAATGGGACCATCAACTATCAATAGATCAATTTTCCTGAACCAAATCGACGTCAATAATATATTCTAAATGACTTTTAAAGGATATTTTTTCAAGCTGGCTTATTCCTTTGCGTTTATTTCCAATTGTTAGAAGGATGATATAAATACTTGGTCACCAAACTCTAAGAAACATTTTACTAATTATCAGTTTTCCTGAACCAAATCGACGTTGTCAACAAATATATTAGAAATAACATATTTCTTTCGAATTTATTTCCAATTGTTTGAAGAATATGAATTCCCAACCATCCCCATCTGGAATTTTTAGAACATGGCAATATCGTTAAAAGTTCTTCATAACAAAGCCATTACAAGTACCTAAATACTGGTACGATATTTTAACCTTTCAATGACAATTCCAAAGTACTTTTCTTACTTTTAGCACGGAACACTAAATCATCGATTTCGTGCATGAATATCTCCCTAGTGTGCTCGTCAAAGGACGAGTCGAAGGACAACGAACACTCGTCTCTATTGTGTGTCTTTATGCAGAACTTATTTCAGATTAATCTTCAATTCCATCAAAACACTACTTAGTTTTACAGAATCGTGATTTAAGAAAAGGAACAACTTCATTTCCAATTTTATTGAAATTACTTTTAACATTACTGGGACCCTCAAGGTTTCCTCAACCATATCGACGTTGTCAACTAACAGATTGGAAATGACTTTTGGAGGATATTTTCTCATGCCGACTTTTTTCTTTGAGTTAATCTCTAACTGTTAGAAGGAAGATATGAATTCCCATAACAACCCAAAATGAACCGATAAATCGGTTCTCAATGATCACCAAACTCTTTCAAGTCACGAGTTTTGTTCCTGGATAATACTCGTATCGATATTATAACCTTTCAAGGACACTTCCAATCTGTTTTTTTTCATCTTGGCACGGAACATGAAATTATCTCCCTAGGGTGCTCATCAAAGGACCTCAATTTCTTACCCAGCACCTGACTGTACAATGAACACTCTTCCCTATTCTGTATTTCGTTTCCAGAGTCGCCAGGTCTTCATTCAGATATCATTTCAGATTAATTTCCATTTTCATCACTTGAATCATTTCATATTCATAATCACTAGTCTAGCAGAATTGTGAATTGAAAAACGAAACAGCTTAATTTTCAATTTTATTGAAACTATTTCAAAACATAAATGGGACCATCAACTAAATCTATCAATCCATTCGACGTTGACGACTAATAGATTCGAAATGGCTCATATACTTCTTACTTTGAATTCATTTTCAATTGTTAGAAGGAAAATATGAATTCCCAACCATCCACAACTTGAAAATATCGATATAAGTTCTTGATCAACGAACTTCAACAAAAATTGTACTCTCGAATCAGACTCGCAATTCACAAATTATGTTCCTGGAAAATACTCGTATCGACATTATAACCTTTCAAGGACACTTCTAAACTGGTTTTCTTCCTCTTAGCATGGAACACGAAATTATCAATCTCGTGCATTAATATCTCCCTACCGTGCTCATCAAAGGACCTCAGTTTTTCAGCCAGCAACTGACTGTACAACGAACACGTATCCAGAGTAGCCAGGTCTTTATTCAGATATCATTTCAGACTAATTTTCATCACTTGAATCATTTCATTTGAGACAATATCATTAGTCTTGCAGAATTGTGAATAGAAAAACAAAACAGCTCAATTTCCAATTTTATTGAAACTATTTCAAAACAAAAATGGGACCATCAACTAAATCTATCGATGATTTTTCTGAATCGAATCGACGTTGACGACTAATAGATTCGAAATGGCTTACTACAAATACATATTTTTACTTTGAATTCATTTTCAATTGTTAGAGAAGGAAAATATGAATTCCCAACCATCCACAACTTGAAAATATCGTTATAAGTTCTTGATCAACGAACTATAACAAAAATTGTACTCTTTCAAATCAGACTTATTTCGCAATTCACAAATTATGTTCCTGGAATAAACTCGTATCGACATTATAACCTTTCAATGACACTTCTAAACTGGTTTTCTTCCTCTTAGCATGAAACACAAAATTATCAATCTCGTGCATTAATATCTCCCTACTGTGCTCATCAAAGGACCTCAATTTTTTAGCCAGCAACTGACTGTACAACGAACACTCGTCCCTATTCTGAATCTCGCATATACAAGCGTCCTTTCGCTTCCACAGTTGCCTATCTTGCGCAGGCGGCTTGAAAGTCGTCGCGACGCCAGCGCCGTCGGTGTTGGAGGTCTTAGAGCTGACACTGACGGCGGCGTCGTTATCGGCGTCCTCGTCGAAGAAGTCTTCTGTGGTGGAGGCGTTGCTGTCGTCTTTGTTCGTGTCGGGTAGTTCGTGTTTTATGTCAACGTCGTCAATCGGTTCCTGAAAATGATCAGGGTAATTGCAGAAAACTGTCATAGTTGTCCTTCCTAGTATTTCATATAATTCGACAAATTCTGAAACTGACAAAATAGGAAGTATTCCGGGTGACCGGGAACTAATTTCCCCCCTTGTATCTTCGTTGCTATTATGAATGGATCTTTCAATTTTGGTACATCAATTTGATTTCATAAGTGTTTGATTTTTTTCTAGAAATTACGATTTAGTATAGAATTAATCATTGCAGAATTGCGTCATTTGACAGGTTGCTGAGGGGCAAACATTGTATTTTGTCAAGATTTTTCATATAAAACCAGAAATAGAGGGATCGTTTTCCTTGGTATCCGAGTTCGAACCAGAAAGAATTTCATAATTTTGTTGATGAAACTGTTATAATATTGTGGATGTGGCAGTGATGGCCAGGGCTATGCTATGCAGATAGATAGAATGGTCAATTCCCAACAAACAATGAACTACCGGGAATTCATTGGCCCAATGCTTTCTTTGCTGGGGAAATGACTTCAACGGCAAAAATCTGTTGGCCTTCCTCATTCTTGCAGTCACTTTGCCAGTGGAGCAAATAGGTATTGGGCCTTCACCGTTTTGTTGACTTTGATGTTGCCGGGAAGACAGCAACTTTGCTTACTCAATCTTTAAGAAGGCCAATGCTAGGCATTCAACTATGCCTATACTGGTCCATCGGATATTATCTTTAGACGGGGGGAAATATTATCGGAAATATTGACGGTCTGCCACTAACTTAGATCAGTTTGAGTCGCAGCACGTTTGGATATTCACAAAGGGGATATTATCTCCTCTCATTTGCTTTTTGTTTCAACTCGTTCTCAAATGACGGAAGTATGTCCGTAATAATGGCACCAAATTATTCGCTGTGCCCTGGTATGTGTGAGTCACAAAAAAACGTATCCAAAACAGTCAGCCTTAGCATAGATTAACGAGGGTGAGTCGTTAATCTATGGCCTTAGTGTCTATGGAGAAAAGGTTATCACGATCTATTTATTTGGTTGATTACCGATTTACATCCGTATTTCCATAGATCGAGTTGGTTAGAAACTCCCAAACGATTTCAACAGAGAAAAACTTCAATTTTAATTTCCTTTCAGTAGTAATCCCCATGCGATACCTATTTACATTTGTATTCAACTTTTCAACTCCATATTAGTTGCCTAATGCAAAATCTAACGCAACATAATTAATACGATAATTTTCCTACTAGTTACGAGGGGAATACAAAATTATTTTTTTCTCTGCGGTCTGCTTTTGAAGATTTCTCACGTTACTGGTAAAAAATCCTCGGATTCATAATAAAAATAAAAATAAATCCTGGAATAAACATCAGAGTCCTTCGAACATGTTTATTTTTGGTTCATGAAAAAAGTATCGGGTCATGCCAATTTCTTGAAATAGTCACTGAATTGAAAAAAATATGACTGCAACATTCCCAACAGGTGTGCGTAGTGCTGAATTTAGTTTGAATTGTTCATCTTCAATTTTTTCGGTTATGTATGGATATTATAAAGTATTATCAGTACTTGTACAAACGCTATTTTTGTTATCTACCAACAATGATATTATGATGAGCAAAAGGAAATTATATGTTGAACATTTACCTGAGTATCATCTTTAGTCTTCAAATGATATAAATCCCCCAAAAATCGAACCATAGGCTCGTATGCGAACCAATTCGTCCTGTAAGAGTCATCACCGGTCATATTATAACTTCTCATCCTGCTATTAATAGACCTAAAAATTAAAATGTTTCGCTGATCAAATTCATCTCTTCCTTTCTTCTCGTTCAAGTTGAGAAGGTCCAAATCTAATCATTATGCCTGAACTGACGGAATCCATCAAAAGAACCTAATGATGGGGAGCTTCAATGCCAGAATTTGTTAGTAAAATAAACAATAGAAAAAAATTCTACCCACCTAAAGGTGGCCATGAGTGATTCACGTTTCCTTTTCATTTCGACCACAGATATCCTCACGCTCATATTGGCCTGGATGCGTGACCAAGCTTTCGTCAATTCCACACGATCTTTGTAGGTCCGATGGCGAGGATGCCATATACCTGGTTCCTGCTCCAGATAGTGCAAAAACTCCAAGATGAGGGCGTTCGTCCACTGCATCGTGCAGACTTAATTCTTTCTCTACTAACACCTGACAATCTTGCCTACAACATAAATTTCAACTTGTACATACATTCGCGAGTTATCTAGCTATGCTCAAGGAACTTTCATTGATTCATCCAGAAAGACCGAATTTCATTATCATGTCCGATAGTCAGGCAGCCATCAAAGCAGTGAGCTCTATGATTATCAGCTCTAAAATGGTTTGGGAAAAACTATGGGACGAACTCGCTAGGAACTCAGCCTAAGTAGAAATAATCTTCGTGTACTATAACGAGAGTCCTAACAGGATACTGCCGGTTGAAAGGACATCTTAGGAAGCTCGGCTTAGAAGAAGAAGACGAATACAGGTTCTGTGGGGAAGAGGAGGAAAAATGTGTTACCCTACAGCTCGCCCTACAGAACCCAAGGGCCAGAAACCTAGGAGCACATATAATAGAGGAGGAGGTGCTACCATACCAGGATCCACCTCAAATCCTGAAATATCTGAGGGATATAGGACTAGACAAATAGTTATAGCAATACGTAAAACAGCCTCATTGACCACAATAGATCTATTTCACCTGAAGAAGCTACTGTGTAAGCGAAACATATCTTGTGTTTGAAAATTTTGTGGAAATCTTATCGTTTGTGAAGTTTCTTACATTTACTATGGATTTCGGAATTCCTTCTGCAATAGGAGCTAGAAGAAATACTCGTGAAATTTCTGAAAGAATGCAAGAAGATTGGATTTATGTAATCAAACGGGAGGACTGGCCTGACATGCTGACCTAATATGATCGTGTGTGTTGTAGACATTTTGAATCTATTAGCAGTATTAGCTTCTATTGCAGAAATGGCAGAAGGAATTTTAATAAGAAATTACCAAATTTCATAATAAAAACTATGTGAGATTACTATTCACCTGAAAAATCATATCCCTTCGTTTCTCAGTGCATTTTTTGAATAGCTCAATATACACAATTCTTATGCCAAAATATTGTGAAAAACTATTTAAATCCTTTGATTCCTCTGTAAACAAATAGAAAAAGTGAGGTTGTGTATCAATGTTTTACAGAAAAGTGAGGTTGTGTTTGAATATTTTTACCTCCAGCCTCCAGGGTCGGTCACCGTGCACGCGACCTATAGCAGATCATATGTTTTGCGAAACAAGGACATGAATAATAATAATATTGTTTTTCGCTAAGATAAAGGCTTCTCGTATCTTCCTTCCTCCAGACTAGAGGTTCAGGGAAGAGTACATCCATTATCTTCCTGTGTCTTTCATTTTTGAACGAGAGTGCAAATCGATTCCAGTATTTTTGCAGTTAGAAACAGAACAAATTTGCATCTTACTATTTTCCCATTTCATCCTCAATTCGGCGAACCTTTGAAATTATGTCAAGTACGTTCATGTACTGTCTAGTTCCTGCTTTTTTCATTTATTCATTTTTGGTTATGCCTGACTGTCAGGGATTGAGAGTGCCCCTACTCTCAATACACAAAAATGTCAAAACAAATGTGCGTCAAGTACTTAAGAACTCTAGATATACTTACCTACACCAATCTTATAATATAAATGCATAGAAAACCTACCTATACAGAGATCGAGACAGAGATATTCACCTTGCTGATATCGTTCGACGAAGCACTGTGCACTGTAGTGTATGAATGCACAAACCACGAAACTCGTTTGAAACGGCTACCCGGTGGACATTTCGAACCAAACTGATCGATCGCGATCGTTTCCCAGCCTTCGCTCGTTTGCACGCGGCCGTTTCGTGACGTCGGGAGAACGAATATGGCGGCCAGTAGGACACGCGAGGCAGGGGCGTAACGGTCGGGATGGACAGAGTAGTCACGTTGAGGTGGATTGTGTTCCATAATATTGATAATTATAATAATAATGAGATTTATGGGAAGAATTTCACTGTTCGAATAATGACAATAGTTATTTATACACCAAGGTAGTAAAAAATATCATTATTACCCAGGGACCACTTTTATATCTCGAGGCTTCAGCCGAGGGCTATAAGGTCCCGTGTTAATAATATTCTTCACTACCAAGGTGTATATTAAATTTTGTTCACCACTATAGCAATACATTTCGATCATTTGAGTTGTGTTAAACTGAAATATGGACTTATTTCAATTATGAAAGCACTTCTTTTCAATTTTAAATAAAATCTAGTAGCCACGTCCATGACAGCATATTCGATTCGAGTGCCATTCCTGCGAATATTGCCATCAGAGCAGTGAATTCAGGTTGATTACAACAAAGGTGGCTATGTCTTTATTGACTAGTGGGTCATAAAACACACTTTACGCCTCGAAAAGGAGTGAATAATGATAGGTTTTACAGCTGGTGGTGAAAAAACACTTTTACGCTATTGAAACTATATTCGAAAAATAGAAGATAATCATGAACACAATCATCATCATTCACTAACAATGTTAATTGTATAAAAACTGTCGTGATAAGGCAGAGTTTGACTAATACTTTGTATATCGCATTTCGGGATGAGTAAGCTGTTATACAACTCTTCGTAGTTGAACTATAATATAATATATGCCAGGTGTCATTCACATTCAATTGACTCAATATCAGAGAACCCCGATCTGTATCAGTAATAATAATAATAATGGCAAAAAGGGCTTTTTCAACATTTGAAGCGCACGACAAAAGTTTCTATGATGTTCGAAGAGGAGGGAGGATAAGGAGAAGAGGTAGGTGTTGGAATTGTTTTCAGAATGTTTGAAAGTTCTTGGGAATACTTTCATTGGCAAAGAATTCCAAAGTATTGCCGTTATATAGACGAACGAGTTTTGTGAAGCTTGACATATTTCAAGGTTGACAACGAAAAGATGTGCTGATTGGGCCTGTCGAGTTCGTCTCACTGGTATTTCACTGGCGTAACTATGGGGGGTTCTGGGGGGTCCGGGCCCCTCCCAGGCCTTTCCAGCCCCCCCCCCCCCCACAAACTTTCTCAAATAAATATCCCAAGGTACCAAATAAAGTAGACACGAATCAAAATATATCATCATATATTTCACCATTAAGAATATCGACGAATAATGAATGGATAATAATGACGTCCCTGTCCGCCTGTCCCTGCAGCTTCACATTCTACATTAGTAATATTCTTTTTATCAAATTTGACTGATGAGATTAACCAAGATTCTCAGTGCAGCTCAATAGCTCAGTTGTATTACGTGTTTCATTTATCTCAGTCTGAGTTGTCTTAAGAACTTATTGAGACTATTTCTTCCCCCTCACCCCAACTGAGCTTGCTATTCATCTGGTGTTGTAGTGAGAAGAAGGTGAGACTGGATCAGTTCTAGTTATTCTGTGGTTTCGTTCTGAAAATTGTGAGATTATATTTTCATTTTGACATGCTTTCAGCTTTGAAGTTTCAGCTCACAGGTTAAATCCTTTGAAAAGAATAATTAATTTGTTTCCAAAATTCCTTGATATAGGTGATAAAATCCAATAAAGACATATTATTACTAAGGCTGAAGCATGCTGTCATTGTTGTCCAACAGGCCAGATAATAATTATGATGTGATCACAGACGTAAATAATGCTTATATCAATGACAGGGTTATGTTTTCTTCCTTTGCCCATCCTGACAGATGAAAACGTGTTCTTTTTATTCAATCGACAACTCAGATCCATCTCACCTCCTTCTAACTCAATTGATCCCAGTAGTGAGAATGTAACAAGGTAAAAAGAATATTGCTATTCTGTGATCCCTGGGATTCCCAGGTCTTTCACGGCACGCTTCTGTTCAGTGTTGACTTGTTGAGTGTTCAGTCAGTCGTCAGTCTTAAAGATCGTTAGACAGGTATAACATATCTTATATTGAAATCGTAAGCACAACTCTTTCTATTTTTTGTCATTATAGGCTTTATTTGTCATTATAGGCTTTATTACTGTGACAATACTCGAAGTACAGTGACATAGTGAAAAAAAGGACAAAAGGTAAGTTGTGAATTGAAAATTTATTTGGCCTTCTACCTTCTATCTATCTGTGGTAGGCAATAATTTGTTGCTTTTGTAGGGAAAATAAATAAAATATCAACAGATTAAACTCCCAAAGAGTTTTATAAACTTTGCGTGTAGTATGGGTATAGAAAAATTCTTTGAAGTCATTAAAAATACAATTTAGTTTTATGCCATTCTGACCGGCGTATTTAGATCCAGAACCGTATTAAGCAGGTGATATTCTTCAAGTTTAATAAGCTCACCCGATTGTGGATTTATTTCCAATAAAATAATTCATAATCAGGCTATATCCTAGATCACATAATATACCAGTTTTAATCTTTTCCTGAAGATGCTAACATAGTTAGCGAAACACGTGTCGGTTTGGTTAGTGGCTCGGTTAGTGGTAAAACAGTGTAGGTAGTGTATTATCGTGCCAAAGGTTCCAGTCTCGGTTCCAGTCTTCGACATACCATGTTCTTTCGCCAGTAGTGGTATTGATAGAGAAGGAATGACATTTCCCGTGGAAGTATCGTTAGAAAAGTGGAAGGTCGCCGACTTTTATACGATGTTTCAATGAGGTCAAAGGATTAGTGAGTGTGGCATCACCCACCAGGCGAATGGCTCTTCTCTGGATGGAATCTAAGAGCATCAGTGTATGTTTGGGAGCTGAAGCTGAACCCCATATCGTCGATCTTCACACGAAGTGACGTAACTAACAAAATTGTGAAAATCAAGTTACGCCCATAAAATAACTTTTCTGGCATGCCTGCTTGACCTCACAAAGTAGCGTATCTGTAATCCGTATAGTATCCTCGTAAATCCATATTGAATAACTGTTGTATCTGACAAAATGCCTATAAGGTTTCACACGAAAAAGCGTATATTACTTACGTCAGTTCGTGTGAACCAATCGTATCGTTACGGAAGCTGATGGGTTAATAGTCGCGGCGTCGTATCTACCCCATACATGTGTCAACTTGTCTGTAGGCTGTTCGCTATTCCTAATTCCTCAGTTGAATTCAGACTTTTGGCAGTATAGCAGTTGAAAGCAGTTGTACCTACGTCCTGAATTCTTAAAACTGTGAAATTAGTGAAATTCTCAGTCTATTGATAATAATTCAATTATTGTCTTGCAGGTTTTTATATTTACATTTTTCATAGTAGAAAATGGACGCGTTGGTATTTTGGGACGATAATACCAAAAATGTAGTGAACGCAAGTGAACTAAAGACATGTGACTCTCGTAAGATAGCAGTAGGAAAGCGCGCTTTTTTGAAACAAACCACGGACAGAGCGAGGGAGATTCTGCTCATAGCGCCATCGACAGAGCTGTTACTACCGCTGGAAATTTATTTGTTCCTTCACAACTCTACCCCATAATGCGACTGGCACGAAGGAAGCAACCTTATACGGTGATTCCAATGGCGTATAATGATTTTAAAGACTTCAAGTTGTCCAAGGATCTGAGAATCTTAACTGTTAGAACCAGCGAAAACGGCAGGAGCATAAATTGAAAGAGTTTAATGGAAGTGATGGCAAAGCAAACTTCACCCTATACACTATTTTTCAAGAATAGTCATCTAGAAGCTGAATATGACTCTATAGTTTTCAAACGTCTAAAAGCTAGTGTGTCAGAGTTAGAACTTTTCCAATTATAAACAAAGAACCTCCAAAAATAACTAACAAAAAGTTTAAGGACTCACTCTGTCAAGGAGAAACTCCTGTGGTTCGATTAAAAGAGTATCAACATTTTTTTCTATCTCTACCCCATATTGAGAAAGAGTAAAATGAATTAATTATGATGAAAAAATGGACAAATGTTTATTTTTTGAGTTCTAAACACATTTTTATGAATAATTCATTGATAAATCTTACTCAGCTAGAGAAATTTTGCATCATTATTTAGAGAAAAACTTTATTTTTCATTAGGTTTACTGCTTTGTTGTTTCAAGAGTATTTTTTTTGTTGAAGAAAATCTAGGCAATTACTGATTATTACTTCATGGCTTGTTATTCTCTTACCTCACTATTATAATTCTGCTTTTTTCCATCTTATTTTGTAACATATTAAACACCTGCTGATTTATATCCACCCTGTATATTTTCGTTAATAAAGTCGAGCAAAACTACAGGTTCTACTGTCTATTGTAGCAGCGAGCTGAACCATATTATACGATTGTATTGAAATGGCGTATCTTACACTTACAGGCAATATAATTTTGTCTCACACGAAGTGACGTATCTACATGTTTTATTTTTTTTCGAAGAATTTGAAAATATTTAAAGATTTATTTGATGGATAAATGAATGTTCATTATCAATGAACACAATATAAAAAAATCGCAATCAATGTTCGATTACTTTGTAATTTACGGCAACCAAATTGTCGTGATTTTTCGTTTTTAGCCTCTGCTGTAAAATTAAGTAAATGTCACTTACGCCACTTCGTGTGAAGACCGACGATATGTGAGAAGGAAAGAAAAAGAATAACACACGAAATAATTCAAACATCAACAGATAACTGTTGGAAGGACCAGCAATAGCTAAACGTTGATTTATTTGAGAATCATTAGCTTTGTTAACAATTCTGTGAATAATTCAACATATGCCAAGGCATTCCTTTTTCAAAAGAAGGATTTGTTCCAATTAATTATGATGTACATTTCCGCTATATATAGCAGAATTATTCAATTGCTCAAACTATTATGTTTATTATGTCAACACTTTGATTGGGTATAAATAAGCCATTGAATTTGTCACGCGATCTTGCCACCTGATAACTTGACATTA